CAACCTATGCTCTTTCCCTGAACTTGTAGAAAGCAAAATAAAGCATAACAAGCGGTACTGAATTTTTACCACCTTTAAATCAAAGATGTATTAATGCCCTCACATCAAATATCAGGGATCGACATCCCAACTATTCTTAGAGTCTGGGATCTAGAACAGAACTCTGATGCTCTCGTGCCTTCTTCCAGGACTCCATGTGGCTCTCCTTCAGGCTGTGTATTGGCTATCTGATCATTTAGGGACCAGGTTAGCAGTTTCTAGCTTTTTCAGGACCCCATCAATGATAGTTTTGAATGCTTCAATACCAGATCAACAAGGCTGAGTGGTGTTTCCCCTGTTTTGGAAGAAGTTGTACCCCCGCCCCCGAGTATGGGAACACAACTTTTATGGCCCTAAGGGCCACATCCAACATTGCTGAGGAGGGGCAGGAGCCACATGTGCATACACATGTGCATGCAAAACTGGGCTGGGATAGCGCAGCCACTGCACATGGGGGGCACCACATAAGAGCAACCCTATGGGGCCGCTGAGAGGAAGAGGGGGCTAGAGCCTCCCACCCCCGAGCATTGCTACTGTCACTGCATCACTGGCAGTGGTAAAGCAAGAAAGTGGGCAGCTTGGGGGATGTTGGAGGAGTCCCAGCCCATGGGCCTTGGTCACGCCTGCTGCTGTACTGCCAATGCAGGCAACAGGAAGCCAGCAGTCCTGGGGGTAGCAAGCTCATAGCAGGAGTTTTGGCTGCAGTTGGATGGCTGCACAGCAGGGATTGGGGTGGTGAGTGGGGCGCCCCACCTGAGAAGAGCCACTGTGCAGGTTTGCCAAGTGATTTGCCAGCTATGACGCTGTCCAGACTGAGACATCTTTGCAAACATTACTCATGCTCTGACAACCTCCCTTTCACATGATGGCAGTGTGCCGAATGAGGGTCTGCCTTCCATAATGGTCTGGGTATTAGCCCAAATTAAGGCTGCCAGGCAGCTAACTGAAATTGGCAGTAGCTTATGTACAGGGTTGTTGATTTCACAGGGCGTGGAAGCATTCTATGGGAACAAAAAAGTCTACAAGCATTTAGAAATGAAAACTTGAAATAGTGAACAGGTGGCCCGGTAGCTGGAAATAATTAATGATGCGATGAAAGCTGATGTATCTTCCAGTTTCCCAAGGTGTACAAAAGTTGTGGAGGGGGCCACATAATATTTCTAGTGACTGGAGTTACAAAGTGTGAAAGCTCATTGTGGGTTGTTGTGTGATGTGAACCCAAACTGATTGCTGCATTATGGCATGTTTGAGGACAAGAAGCCACCCTGACAATCCATGGGTTATAACTGGAGTTCTTGCATCCATAGTGGGTTATCATATGGCTGCATATGTCCCAGTCCATAAGCTCCTATTGCCCTGTCAAAAATCCTATTTAAAGGACAAAGAGTTCCACCAGTTCTCAATATTCCTTTTCATCAGAAAAATGGGGACAAGACATATGTGTTGTTTGTTGTATATGGTTGCTTTGGTTATTTTTGGTTTTTGTCTTTAGTAAGCCATCCAGAGACTTTTAATATTGGGATGGCATATAAAAACTTTGAATGAAAGAATGAATGAATGCTTTTGTAGCTTCCTGAATGCCTAGAAAACATAGAATCATAGAACAGCAGAGCTGGAAGGGGTCAGAGGGCCATCCCCTGCTCACTCCCAGGTAAACCATCCCTTTCAGATGGCTGCCCAGCTGCATCTTGAATGCCTCCTGTGTGGGAGAGTCTACACAGTAATTGGCTCCACTGCATTCCTGCTCTAACAGTCATGAAGTTCTTGCTGATGTCCAGCCAGAACCTGGCTTCCTGTAACTTGAGCCTGTTACTCCATATCCTGCGCTCTGGGATGAATGAGAAGAAATCCTGGCCTTCTTCTTTGTGGCAGCCTTTTGAGTACTTGTTTACTATCACATCTCCCCTCAGTCTTCCCTTCTTGAGGCTAAACATGCCCAGATCTTTCACTCTCTCCTCACTGGGCCTTTTTCCAGTCTCTGGATCATCCTTGTTGCCCTCTCTGAATCCTTTTCAAGTGCAAAATGTGCATCATTTTGAGGACTCACAGGTCCAAAACTTTTTTAAAAGATGAGGTTTTTGCTACAAAGGGGATAAATCACACCATCCTTTTTTCTGAGCAGAAATCACTTGGCACATCTTCTTGTCTTGGCAGCATCTTGAAATACAGCAAAGGAAGAAACACATACACCTCTATAGAGCCTCTTTGGAGATTGGTACCTTGGTAGCAGATATGGGGGATAAGGCTTCACATTTCCACACTGTGCAACTTTGAATTTCTACAGTTGTGCAAATGTGGCAAAAAAGTAAATGAAAAGAACACACCTCTTTGTGCACATATTCATGCATTTTAAAAATCAGTCTACTGATGACTCACAGCTCTTGCAAGGTGCCACTTGGACACTGTGAAGGGGCTGTCAGTGGTTGTCAAAATAGGGATTATGAAAGCCAGGTATCAAATTGGCTTACATGAACTGCAAAAAAAGAGGGTGGGGAAAATGCTGTGGCACACCAATGAAGTCTTATGTTCATGGCAGGGGAAGTGGAGATAAATTCGTCCTCCCGCTGTGTCTGCTGGGGTACCCACAGGAGAACAGAGGGAGAAGGAGAGGGAGGGGATGAACAACTGATGGTGAGTCCAATCATCTGTTGGGCAGAAGAACCAACCCAATGCAGCTTATGGCTTGGTGTTTGAACATGTCCAGTATCTCCACTCAAGCCAAAAGGAACTCAGGTAGCAGAACTGGGAAAGGCAGGACATCTGCCTAGGACTCTGGAGAACCACGTAGAAACAGAGCGAGTCAGAAGGGACCTCCTGGGCCATCTAGTCTGACCTCTGGCTTTAGCCGACTCCGCTCACGACATGCCTAGCACGTGCATGTCTAGCTTATCTTTGAACACCCTCACCGATGGGGCCTCAACCACCTCCCGTGGAAGCCCATTCCACACCCTCGGGGTCCTAACTGTCAGGAAGTGCTTCCTGGCATCTAAATTGAACCTTGGATCCCTGAGCTTTGCTGTCCTGCCCTCCTCTGCAGGGGAGAACAGATCTGTACCCACCTCCGTGTGGCACCCTCTCACACACCTGTATGTCGCCAACAGATCCCCTCTGAGTCTCCTCTTCTCCAGGCTGAAAAGACCCAGTTCCCTCAAGTCTTGCCTCATATGGCTTTTCCTGCAATCTGGCCACCATCCTTGTGGCCCTGCACTGCATTGACTCTAACCTGGCTATATCCTTTCTGTAATGAGGGGCCCAAAACTGAACACAATACTCCAGTTGTGGGTGCACCAAAGTCATATAGAGTGGTAGTAATACCTCTCTCGTTCTAGAAGTCACGCTTCTGGCTATGCAACCAAGGGTGGCGTTCGCCCTCTTGACCACTGCGTCACACTGCTGACTCATGTTCAGCCTGCAGTCAACCAGCACGCTGAGGTCCCTTTCACAAGTGCTGCTCTCCAGCCACTTGTCCCCTAACCTGTACTTATGACACCCATTCCTATGCCCCAAGTGCAAGACCTTGCACTTATCCACACTGAACGCCATCCTGTCATCCCCTGCCCACTTCCATAGTCCGTTCAGATCCTTTTGGATCTGGAGTACCTGATCCTCAGTTGTGGCCACTGCCTCCATTTTAGTATCGTCTGCAAATTTGATCAGCAGACTGTTCACCCCTTCTTTCATGTTGTTGATGAAAAGACTGAACAGGATCAGCCCCAGAACAGAGCCCTGGGGGACCCCGCTTGTCACTGGCTGCCATCCTGATGATTCCCCACTAATGGTTACCCTCTGCTTTTAGTCAGTCAACCATGCCCTAATCCATTGGACAGTGCATTGGTCTGTCCCAAAACTCCTCAATTTCTCAACCAGGATATCATGTGGCACTCTGTCAATGGCCTTGCTGAAATCCAGGTAAACCATATCCACTGCATCCCCTCCATCTAGCCACCTTGAAACCTTGTCATAGAATCCCACAAGGTTTGTCTGGCAGGACCTGTTTTTGCAGAAACCGTGTTGTGTGGCTGCCAGCCTCCCTTCCCTGTCTAGCAGCATTAGATCTCTTGCTATTATGAGCCTTTCCATTGTTTTTCCTACATTGGATATAAGGCTAACTGGTCTGTAATTCCCCATGTCCCTTCTACTACCCTTTATGAAAGTTGGGACCACTGACACCACCCTCCAGTCCTCTGGAACTTCACCCGTTCTCCACGAGGTCTCAAAAATGGAGGCCAGCAGGTGTGAGAGAACCCCTGCCAACTCTTGAAGTACTCTCGGGTGTAACCCATCAGAGCCCAGCGCCTTTGTAACATCCAGTGTCCTGAGGAGCTCCTCAACTACTAGGGGGGTGACTTGAGGAGTTGAGGATATTCTGCCCCCCTTTGTCACCTCTCGGACCCTCTGCATGAAAAACCCTCCCTCTATAGTGTCTAGGAAGCAATATGACCTGGCTGTCACCGCTGAGTGAGTCTCCCAACTAATAACCAGGAGATTGAAATCTTCCATAATTACTGTGTCCCTCCCCTGAGATATCCTTGGAATCTGATCTGTCGGGACATTGTCCAGGGTCTCAAGCTGAGCTGGAGGGTGATAACATACCCCCACTGTCAGGTCCCTCTCCGTGTCAAAACCCTTAGTTTCAGCCAGGCTGCCTCTCCCAGATCCCCATCTCACTGCATCCTATCCCTTCCCTGACATATAAAGCTACGCCCCCACTCCCTCTTTCCCTTCCTGTCCTTTCTAAATAGGTGATACTCAGGTAACAGGTGATACTTCCAGGTACAGTAGACAATGTTGTGATGGACCAAAGATCTGACTCAGTATAAGGCAGCCTCCTATGTCTCCTCATTTCTAATGTGCTAAGGAGGTACGTTTCTCTCTCCCCGGAAAAGCTTTCTTAAGGCAGTCACCGTTGCTTCATTGACCAGTTTCTCTCTCTCTCTCCCTCTCCCCTTGCACTTTTGTAGAAGAATGTTTCCTGCAATGAGAGTGAAGATTACAGGGTTGGATCCTCATCAGCAGTATTATATAGCCATGGACATTGTGCCTGTGGATAACAAGCGATACAGGTATGAATTGCTAAAGAATAAGCACTACTGTAAAGGCTTCTCTGAGAATAAAAAAGATTGAGAAATGGATTATCCACTGTAAAGAGAATGGAAATTCAGTTGGCAGATCAAAATTCCACAGAGATGTTCATTATTTATGTGTTTTAAAAAGGGTCTTCCTTTAAACCCTTTTAAAAACGCACAAAACACATAGAACCCTCTGAATGCAGTGCATAAGGTAAGAAGAATACAAAAATAGGTAGCAACACAGAAAGAAATATTCAATAAAATATGTTGTTATTGTTGTTGTTGTTAGTCATGAAGTCGTGTCCGACCCATCACGACCCGATGGACAACATTCCTCCAGGACTTTCTGTCCTCCACCATCCCCCGGAGTCCACTTAAGCTCACACCAACTGCTTCAGCGACTCCATCCAGCCACCCCATTCTCTGCCGTCCCCTTCTTCTTTTGCCATTTATCGTTCCCAGCATTAGGCTCTTCTCCAGGGAGTCCTTCCTTCTCATTAGGTGGCCAAAGTATTTGAGTTTCATCTTCAGGATCTGGCCTTCTAAAGAGCAGTCAGGGTTGATCTCCTCTAGGACTGACCAGTTTGATCGCCTTGCAGTCCAAGGGACTCACAGGAGTCTCCTCCAGCACCACAATTCAAAGGCCTCAATTCTTCAACACTCAACCTTCCTTATGGTCCAACTTTCACAGCCATACATTGCAACTGGGAGCCTGGAGGAATGTTATCCATGGGGTCATGATGGGTCAGACACAACTTTGCGACTAGACAAGACAAGTGTGAAAGTCCATTTTCTCCCACATTGATTCAATCTGATGTAAATAAGGGCATCAGATTTCTGCTTTTCAAACAAGCTGTGATTCATGCAAGTTTATTTATTTATTACAAAAGCTCTGGAAACTGCTGTTATTTGTGCAGCCCCAAATCCTGAGTATTTAAAGTAATAAACTCATGCTAATGTGGCCTGCTTTACAAGCAAAAGAAATAAAATACTACATGTATTAGGCTGGGGAAAGAATCAGGGTGGGGTAGGGAAGAGGCTAAAAACAGCAACTCCATTTGCAGAAACCATGTGAGAAATAATAATAATTGCAAATCATAATTGAAAATAATAACAATACTGATTACAATGTGTCTGTTTGGGGTGTGCAAATCAAACAACTAGCAGAAGCCATAGTATTGATGGTGAATTGCATGACTCTGATAATGACAAATTCTCTGTGAAGGAGGGGATATGGAGAGCGAAAGCCAAAGTAGTGAGATGAGGAAACTGACAAGGGTTTTTACCAAGGGAACGTGCTACACCTGGGGTTACATACTGGATTTGCAAATATTAACAACAGAGCAAATCCATGGATTCACATTTAAAGATTCAGACCCCACTTGTGCAAAAGGCTTGGTTTACACAGCTCACCATTTGCACACATGTGCTGCAAGTTCCGCACAATCCATTTTCAATTGCCAGATCACAAGGATGGGGACGTCTGTCCGGCTCAAAGGAAACACAGTTCTCAGTGTAGCACATCTCTGTGCCAGATTCCTTTCTAGCTGTGTTTCTGGGGCCTGTGGAGATCTGTGGAGACCCATAAGAGATCCTAATCTGGCTGGCAGGTCCTGTTAGCCTGCCACAGCCTTCCTCTGTTTCATCCAACTTCCTCAGATATCACCCATGCCAGAGCGATAGCTGTTAGCTGGGTTCACACGTCATGACAAGCAACTCTGTGTAGTTTCCATGGTGTGTGTGTGTTTTCTGGATGAGCAGGTGGTTTCTATGCTAGCCTGGTTTACACTCTGAGCTGGCTTGATTCCCATGCCGTCATCCCTGAAATTCAGTTGCATGCTGGATGGCTGGAGCTGCTTTTTCCAGGGAACTCTGTAGTAGCTTCATAACAAGTCCATGGAAGCCACAATGTTGGGTTTGGACGGCCAGATAAACCGTGGTGAAGCACAGCAACCATAGAATAGACCATTGTTTCTTATTGTGGTTTCTAAAAACCAAATATACCATGCTGAAAGACTACAACAGGGTTTGTATGACACAACAGACCACCCCGAGTAAGGAACCACTCTGGTTTGCCATGCCATGTGAACCTGCCCTCTGTCTCAAGCTGGGCTAATACATTAGCTCTGGCATGTTCTGATCTGTGCAGCTATACTCATTGTTCTTATTCATCATCGGGTAATGCTAACCAGCACATCAACCCATGTTGTAGCACATTAAAATGAAAATGGAACTAAGGATTTTGAGAGATAAAATCATGGAAATCCACAGCGTAATTTGAGAAACACAAGGCCCTTGCAGTTAGAGTGTGTTTCAGTCTGTCATCTGAAAGTAATGCAATATTCCCTAATATATCTAAAGGCTTTCATCTGTGGATTAATAGGGTTAACCAATTAGTCTGCCCCATGTGCAAAGTTTCCTAGGGACAGTAATTGGAAAAGAGGATTAATAGAGATGGAAAAGTGAGGAAGTGGTTCCAGGTATCATCTGGCTTCCATTAAAGATGACGCACATAGTTTCCTTCCTGTGCATATAATCTGAGAGCCTGGCTGCTATTTGGTAGGTGTAGAAGAAAAGGAGGAAGGAAGGAAGGAGAAAGACGAAAGGAGAAAGACACTCCAGGTATGTATATGTGTCCATGCTCACACGTACTTCAAGCAACAAATGTTCCTTCGTCTGTCTTTGTCTCATGCAGATATGTGTACCACAGCTCCAAATGGATGGTAGCAGGCAATGCTGACTCCCCGGTGCCTCCGAGGGTTTATATCCACCCCGACTCACTGGCATCTGGAGACACCTGGATGCGACAAGTTGTCAGTTTTGATAAACTCAAACTGACCAACAATGAGCTGGATGACCAAGGCCATGTAAGTCAGAACGAAGCACCTTCTATTTTCAACGCATCAGGACTGCCTCCCCAACCAGTCTTTGGCCAAGCAGTTCCCAGTTAAGGCTACCTCAAGTGTAGGAGGAGCAAATGCAAACACAGTGGCAGGCAGCAATCCCACAGGTGTCCCCACTCCAAGCCTCTCTCACTTAAACCTCAAATAGCCCTTCAGCTGACCCACAGACCAATATCATTGTATCTGTTTGCAGGTGGGAGGAACAAGTGGGCAGCTTTGGTATAATTATTACTCTTGCAAACCTAAGCCTTTCCTTTGTTCCTTTCAAAGATCATTCTGCACTCAATGCACAAGTATCAGCCACGTGTCCATGTTATCCGCAAGGACTTTAGCAGCGACCTGTCTCCCACCAAGCCAGTCCCCACAGGTGATGGGGTGAAAACCTTCAACTTCCCAGAGACAGTCTTCACTACAGTCACTGCTTACCAAAATCAGCAGGTAATGAAAAGAAGACCTACCTGATGTGTCACCTCTCAACTTGGTCCTCTCATAAACCAAAAAAGTCAGTTGATAGTATCTCCTTTCACAGGACAGAAAGCACATTTCCGTTCTGCCACCTGAAGCAGAGCTAAGGGGGAATAGCTTGCCCAGTCAGTTCCTGGTGTGTGTGTGTGTGGGGGGGGGGAGATAGTTTCCAGCCTCTATGTAATGGAAGAACAATTTCCATGCAGTTATGTAAGCAGAGGCACAGCTGAGCTGTGCCTCATAGTGGGGCACCTTAATTAGAATGATGGAGAGCTCCTCGGGTTAAGAGAAGGGGAAGGCCTGGTGAGAATGCAGGAAAACATCTTCTGCCCCTGCTAGGCATGACACTCTTTAAGCAAGTTTCCTGAGGACATGTGTAAAATATGTGACAAGCAGACTTGTCTTTTTATGGGAAAGGTAACTGAGTAGTCAAACAGGGTTGACCTTCCTTCTAACCTTCCTTCCTTCCTTCCTTCCAAAAGGACTTTTAAAGGATCTAAACATATGGTTTTCCCCCACAATTATCTGCCTATGGAAATCACTGTCACATGACGTTTTATGGTAGCTACTATAACTCTCCAACAATATTAGATGAAGTGTAAAGAGTAAATTCAATTGATCAGCACACAGATAAATGCCTCCTCATACCAGGTGCTGTGGATCAATATTTCATCATGCTACACTTGTGACCCTTTGGGAAGCATCTGCCTGGCTGCTGGCAGGCAAACGATGCCAAGCAAGAAGGCTGCTTGGACTGAGTTGCCATCTAATTGGGAGAAGGCCATCCAAATTATGAGTTGACTACATTTCTATTTTTAAGAATTGCATCCTGCTGCAATAATGTATGGAAAAAGGCTGTCTGTGTGCTCTATACAGGGTTGCAGTTAGTGTTTTGCCTATTTATGGGGTTGGTTGGTAGTGACAGGTGAGAACCCCCACTCTTGTTTTGGGCTGGGTTGGAAAAACTACACAGCCCTTGCATAGCTGCATTTCGTATACGCTCTTTGCGGCTTGGCCTGGTTTGTTGCATGGCAGTGCACCAAATGCTGTAGAAGGAAGCCATGGGGAAACAGCTTTCTCCTTCCCCTCTCACCAGTTGCCAAGACTCGCCCTTGGAGTGCCGTTAGGGAAGTAGGCTGGGAGGAAATGGGAAGAGAAGAGGGTGGTGTGGGGGAGAGAGGAGTCCCAGATTAAAATGCAAGCTAGAATACGGGGGATTTGAATGCTGACCTCACATGTAGGGAAAGCATTAATGAGCACCAGGGACTCATATTTTCCAGTCTGACTACATCATTGGTACTTTATGTCAAATTTTCAGTTGGGCCACAATATTGCTAGATAACTCGAGCCATTCACTTCGTTACGATGTTTCTCATTTCTTCTGTACTATTATTATCTTGTTGGGGCTAGAATATACAGTTAGCTAAGTTAATCGGATAGTATGTGTATGCATACTTATAAAGTGCTTATAAAAATTGTAGATGATAAGCATTGGATGCTGTCCTTTTTTCCTCTTATATATGAGGAGATGCCTCCAAGAAGATGTAAGCAAACTGAAGGGGTTGCTTGGCTGATACGGTGGGGACAGGGACTGGGGGGGTTAAGAAGTAAGAAAATACCTAGTGCTGATCACAGTAGTACTATTAGTCTAATCTGCACTGACCTGTTAGGTAAGATAGTACAGGTTTTATTAGTGATAAATAGAACTTTATCCATAAAGTCTTGACATTTGTCTTCTATATTTAGGAAAGTATTGTAATCATTGTTGATATTCCTTCATCCTGCATTGTGGGGTGTCTAGACAACCCCAAGCTTACATTTGTTGTATAATTTACACATAAGCAAACCTACAAACTAGTCCTTGTAGGACATTGTCAAATTCAGGCTGGTAAAAGTTTTCCCCATTTCAACTTCCAGTCTTTTTCTCTAAACCAAAACAAGTCTGGGGGACAAAACATGCCTGGGGAGGGTCAAACATTGTTATGCAGATTTGGTTATGCATCATATAGGACCACTTACAGCTTGAATTAACTGTACATAAGAATGTGAAGTTCATTCTTATGCTGATTCAAATCTTTTGAGGGTAACAAAGGTCTTCATATGCAGCATTTGCTTGGCCTGTGGAAGTGTGGGCTGGAGTCATAAAATGACCCCAAGTGTGACTAATGCTAGTTTTCAAATTGACCTTGAATGTAAGGCGGTATCCTTTAAAATATTTGAACCACTTTTGTTGCTAAATAGGACTAAAATATTTTAATTTGAAAATATGGGATGTTAAGCAAATGTTTTGATTAATAAATAAGACCGAAGTACTTCAATCTGTTTATAAATGCAACCCAAAATGAAATAATATTACTTTTTATTAAGGAGAATTAAGTAACAGTGGAGGTAATTTAGCCAGCATGAGATGATCTGAAAAATGTATTGAAGAAGTAATTGGATGGTCATTTTAAATTGTGAGATGAAAGCTTTCTCGTTCAAGACAAAGACAAATAAAACTATTGCTCAGATAAAAAGTGAAATTGGTTTTAAGTTTGGCAAATTAGAAAAGACATTTAATCAACTGGAAAACTATAGCACAGTCAACCAATGAGATATAGAAGTTACAGTTCTTAGACAAGGGATAAAACAGGATGCTGGAAGAAGTGGAACACATAATAATGTTGCAGATGCAGATTAAATAATAAAAGAACTTGAGTCTTTACAAGACCAAGTGGAAAGATTGGTTTATATATGTAGGAGAGAGATGATTACGATCAGGGAAATCACACAAAAAGCCTAAGAAATAACATTATTGAGTTCTTAGATAACCGAAATAGCATTAATTGTGGGGAAAGATTCTGATAATAAGCTTTATCAATGTTTATATTATCAGTTCAAGAACTGCATCTGAAAAGCATTAAACCAAGACACAGTAATATTCCAAAATGTAAACTTGGAATATTTTTTCAATGTAATAAGAGAATAAGACATTAAGACTAAGAGGAAACTGGTAAATTTTTGCATGCTTCCCTAATCCATCCCTCAGTGCAAGGAAAAAGAGAAAGGCAATTAAATTTCTGGCATTGGCTGAATATATAATCGGAATAAACTCTTTAAGTTAACATTGCAATGTGAGCAATTAATGTGTGTTAATTTATACTGTTAATTTATATTATTTTAATTGAAGTTATTTATGTTTGTGAGCTGCCCCAAGGCTTCGGCGAATGGGGTGGCATAGAAATTTTCTAAATAAACAAAAGTGAATACGTGTTCGGATAGAAAAAGAAGCCTTTTTTTTTTTTTTGCATGAGTTGCATCACTGTGGTAAAAAAAGCAGAGGTCTTCAATGATGACAGGACAATTCTGGTAGTTAGGACAAATGTGACAGAGATTAGAGAAGGAGGAGCAAGAGACAGAAGAAAGGGGGAAGCGTGATATTAGTGGGTAGAGACCAGTTGTAGATACACTAAGGTCAGAGACAGGACACAGTAACAGAAGACTATCTTCATCTTCATGTTGAGAAATTGCAACTAAATTTGAATGAAAGTGGCTACATTGTGCATAAAGTCAATAAAGAGGGAAATGGAAGAAATCAAATTGTTCTATATTTAAAGATTGACTTCACCAATTCAAGGTGCAATCCACCATTCATCACCTGGTGACTTGTGTACAGCTACTTCACCACTACCATGACTCATGCCCTGCAATTCATCCGGATGGCTGATTTGGCTATTTGGGTGAAGGAGCAGGAAGTGGGAGAGAAGTAGAAGTGGGTGCCATCTCAATGCAGCGGTAGCTTCAGCCACTTCCCCTCCCCGCCCACTGGCATACCACTTTCCCCTCTCTTCAAGGCCAATTTGCAGCTTCACAGTGGCAGCTGGGAATTTTTCCCCATGCCAGCTGCAAGAGGTGCAGGGTAGGATGCGCCCTTCAGAGGTCATGAGACCTCAGAGCTGGGACTCAAACTAATCTTGTGCCCCCCACCCTGACAACGTTGGAAGGCCATGGGACTGTACTCTAAGACATCATAGGTATTAAACTCATTTTTATTAGCCAACAAAGCATTAACAGACTCTTTAAGCTCCTTGGTGGATTAAGACTTTATACTGAAAATTATGCCTGTGATTTCCTGACCAATTATTCTGTGAAACATATTTTCAGGGATTAATCACTGCTAATTATTGTATATATTAAACCTCTAAAGATGTATGTATCTACATAGTTAGAAAAAAAGTACATAAAGTACCTTTGCTTAAAACCTCATTACCCAAATTTCAACCAAAAATTAGATGACTTTATTTATACAAAGAAGGCAGACATGTTACGTATTTCTGCCTTCCTTATTTAAACAATATTTTTGTTTTATATACTAGACAGAAATAATTTGAAAATCAAATGAAACTGATGAATTATTACCAGATTCACTGACAGGTGAGCAGAAAAAGGGCTATTAGACTGATGTATTTAGGAAAAGAACCACCAAAACACTGATTTCAGTATTTGTAATTCCTTGGTTGCACATTAAGGGAAACGCCTAAAGGACTTACAAAAGAAAGCTTAAGTAGTTATGAAAAATTAATCATTAATTAGTCCAATAGTATTTCCATTCAAAATTTATAAAGTAACATTGAATATAAATGATAAAATAGGAACATATTCATGATTACCTGAGGAAAAAAATCTTGAAACTGTGATATCATTAAGAAGACTGCATTTTGTGTGTGTGTGTGTGTGTTTTGTTTTAGTTGTAACACAATGCTTAAACATTAGAGACTCCTGCATAGCCTTTCAAGAAATGCTCTTTTTTAACCATATAAAATGAAGTTGTTCTGAAGAAGTACAGTCTTGGGACGGAATGCAAAGCCCAATTACATTTATGTTACATTATGAGATATTATAAGGTCCAGTTGTTATCTTAGGATATTTGCAAGGTGAAGTGTTAGGTAAACATCAGGAGATAGTTTTGACTTAATTTGTGGAAGCCAAAATATTACTAGCCACCAAAAAGAGAAATAATAAAATAAATATTGTTAAAAGCTAGTCACTGAATATATGGGACACAGCAAAAGTGTAAAACTATCAAAAGATGTACAGATAAATGATGGAAGGAGGAAGAGGAGGAAGATTTTTTTCCCTATAACTGAAAAAAATATTTTTAAAATTTATGAGCCAGAAATATAATTTGGAACTTGGTAAAATTTGCTATTTGCATAGATGGGGATATTTCCAAATTTTGTAAAATGTTACTGGACTTACAAAAGATAACAATGCATATTTGTAGTTCATAATACGTTATTAAGATAGCATTAAAATCAAGATGTTTACTGCTGCTCAAAAGATTTTTGAGCCCTTTTGGGCTCAGCAGTATATAACTCACATTTGCCTTGTGCTCGGCATCCACCTTCAAGAAAATCAACTCAGGCAAGATTAAGAATGACAATATGCTCACTTGAGCTGTTCAGTGCCTCAGGCTTGTACATCTTATGTTATTCCGTGCCTGACTAAAATTACTGACACACTGACAATTTCTTGCTGGCTTAGGGGCAAAGATTTAATAAGCAAAAGGCCGTTGATCACAAGGGAGAACAAGCAAATATAGGACTTTCTGCTTTGTTCAAGGATTTTATTCTTCAGTATTGCTAAAATTCTTGGATGTTGTGCCACAATATTCTACGGCATTTCAAGGTGCTTCAAAAGTGAGGAAATCTAACTTTACTCTTTTCTTTCACTGCGGGTACTTGTGGATGTTTATTTTCCCGACAGAGGGAGTATCTGGTTAGGAACAGGGGATAAAATAATTTGGTTTGCACTTTAACATGGATTGAACTAATTTGCACTTCCCAAATGGGAACACAGTGAAGTTTTACTTTCTCACTTCTCCAAATTTTGTAATGCAGCTCTCTGATCAAAAGATGCATATAGAACGCATGCACTAGGAAAAATTGTATATGCAATCGTACTTTAAAGAAAATAACATACAAATAGTCTTACATTAAAGGAAACTGCAAAAATACATAAATGTGTAGGAATTTTCAGGCTTGCAAAAGCGGGCATGGAAATGCAGGGTGCTAGTTCACGCAGGCTTTTATTATTGATTATTATATTTATATGCTACCAAGCAGTCCGAAGGACAGTAACATATGAAGACTGTAATAAAGAAATCGGGAGGAATCAAAGTGTGCTTAAAAATATGTGAATTTTATAATAAGCAAGAGAGACAGATTTATCATTCTCCTATCAGGGTACTTATCTGCCTTACAACTCTACTTTCACCAGTATAAGGGTTTTTTTTTACCTTGTTTTGTCTTATCTGTGGGCTTGGGAGCAGATAAATTTGAAGCAATGGATGCTTCCACAAGCCTCTTATAAAATAAGTAAGATCAGGATAAATAATGCTTATGACTGCATTCGTGTGTGTGTGTAATTTATCATAACCCTACGAAGGAAGAAAACCATAACAACAAAGCTCCATGACAATTTATTAGCAGAATGGTGGTCTTAGCTTTAAGTCATCAGAGAAAGTGAAAATGACAGTGTAAATCAGCTTGAAAGAAAAAGACAGGTGGTGTAATCTAACTTGTGTGTGCACATGTGACAGCGAGTGAGCAAAAGAGAGAGAGAGAGAGAGAGAGAGAGAGAGAACGTACAGTGATCTGCACTGTGCTGTCACAAATCCCATAGAGGAACAAACGTTGTTACAAATCAAGAACTGAAAGAGATTTGCAGCAGGAATTTACAGGCTGTTACTATGGGAAACCCAAATGTTTGGAAGAATTCCAGCAGGAACTGACTAAATATTAATATCAAGATTGTCCAGCACTGTTTCAACTGTTTATGTATATTACTATTCTTAAGATCATAAATATGCAGTGATTTTGCAGAAACCCTGAAAAAAGGAAAATGCTTTTTACAGCCATTGGCTTTTGTGACAATGCTGTTTAAAACAGATTTAGGAACTCGGGAAAACAAGTAACGGGAGCAGACGTGTTTCATAATAGTTGTATTTTATTTTTCCAAACCCTTCATCAAGTCAACTGATGACCGCATGAGATATGTAATGTAACCATGTATGTACCTATGGAACACATATGGAAGTGTCTTACCACTTGACTTAGTGCGCTGACAAGTTGAAACCCTTTGCAGTGGGCTGTGTTGCCACAAGTAATGGCTCCTGGTTCTAGTTTCAACCAGCAAATCTCTGAACACAACAAGGCGAGAACTGTCACCTATAGACCCTTGGCCACAGAATATAAAGTTGCATTAAGTGGATGCCTGACCACAGAGGAATCTGCCATTCTTCCAGAAGCAGCTGCTGTGCTAAAGCACTAATCATACTTCACTACTTTTCCTGTGCTTGATTACTAAAGAGCTCAGTGTAGTTAGACATAAATGTAAAAATGTGAGATAGAAATCACATTAGACTTGTCATTTAGTACAAATGAAGTACAGTTTTGCGTACCTAGTCTAGCCAGCAGCTAACTTTTCTGTCTTGTTGCAACTGAATGTATTGTTCAGTTCCCACTGTGGCATAATATTCCCACCTTCTAAATGTGCATTACATATATACATTTATGAGCTACATTAGCTCTTGGTCTTGTCCCTTGACACGAACTTCAGGAAGGCTGTCTACTATTAAACCAATCAATAAAATAAAGTTGATTATATAGCATACATGTTCATCCATTATGCTAGAAAAAATAGATGGAAACTGAAATACTTGATGTGCTCGAGTCCCAAGGAGTACATTTTGGCAGTTCATACCACTTTTACCAGAAGTGCAGACAAGAATGAAATTATCATTAAAATGTGATTCCATCAATGAGTGTATAATGGAATGAAGGCACCTGACAATCCTTGTAATGCAGATGGAATGAATTCCACAAAATCTGTTGGTGGGGCCCTGTGGCATTCGGTATTCATGGAAGAGGTATACTGATGAATTGTGTTTATTGAGGGTGTCTTGTACCTGCCCCTTACCATGTGATCACTTGTTGAATGTAACATGGCCCATTGCTATCATTGTTGTAAATTATATATAATTATTATACTCCATCTAATACATTTTACATGCTCTGAAATTAGCACAGGTATGTCACAATTTACAGTGATTTAGGACTGTTGATACTCATTTATGAAAACGTGTTTATTGTATATGTTGCTAACAGTTTACAAGCTGTTTATGTAGGAGATGCTCTTAAACATCCATGAAATTAATATTGTTTATAACAATTTTTATTTTATTATTATAGAATAATAAAAGCTACACAAAATGCTATTAAATGACATATTTACAAAAGAAACTAACTCAGTTGGCATCCTGTTACAGATCACCAGATTAAAAATTGACCGGAATCCATTTGCAAAAGGATTCAGAGATTCTGGAAGAAATAGGTAAGCTCATTTCCTAAATTTTTCCTTCCTTCCTTGTTACTGTACTACGTCGTTGTAGTGTCTTTGTTCAGGAAGGGTGCTGGACCAGGTCCCTGTGGCACACAATGCATGGACTCCAAAAATCCTGCATTCTACACCTGGGGCAGCATGTGGATATCAGTCCTTATCAAACTGCTTATTTTGAAGATTTCTACCTGCCTTTCTCTCAAATGCTCTTCAAGGCAGCTTATAAACGGTGCAACCTCCCTGCCCCAGATCATGTACAAACCAGCAGCCCTCAGCCCATGCTTTCCTTTTGTTCTGCTGTGGTCTGCTTCATTAGTATGGGTTATCTGCCCTCCAGCTGCCCAGGCAGCGCCTCCATTTGTTCCCCAACAAAAGGTGGCTGGAGCCTATTATCTATCTACTATTTATCTTCTCTGATAAATTGCCTCCCAAAGCAACTATCGTCAATTAAAGAGGGAGTGCAAGAGAGGCTGTGCCCTCAGGCTTACAACAAACCAACAAGACAAGAGACTCAAGGGCAGGGGTGTGGAAAGGAAGGGAACAGTGAGGAGAGGAGATCCGCTTTTTAACACTACGCTATAAACAGGCATTTGGGCTAGACTTGACTGTCCCTTTTCTAGAACACCCACTGATGGTTCTTGTTCCCCTGGACTACGGATGGGGCCTGCATGTTCGTTTCCCTTCATGCCTTCCCCTTGTTTTCATGCCTGCCGGTTAATAGCAGAATGCTTCCTTAATTTTCTTCAGTCCTGGGATAACTGGTGTTGGCAAACTATGCTTTCCATTCTTACGCCATTTTTTTCTAAAATCCCTGTGCATAGCCAACACTATGCAGATAATTTGTTGGATCACAGTGTATGTGTTACACCTTTATGCTGTACAAGCAAAAACTGCATGTTAGTAGTGAGCTGGACCAGTATGCCTTCTATCTTTTCTTATATCTGTAGGGAAATCAAATAACAAAATGAAATAACCTTCGCATAAGAAACTCATAAACCAAATTTTAATTGGCTTAATTTCTATATAAAATCCCAGTGTAGGAAGCATTTAATTGCAGCCCAAGTATTATTTTTATGTCTTTGCCATTTCACTGTTCTGAGAGCGCCATGCTAATGAATAGTACGTAAATGCTTAAATAAATAAAACATGTTTTCTGGAAACTTTGAAGGGATAATATACTGAAGCTCTTGTGCTATTAATACCAAAATAGTAGGTAAATCTGATCAGATAGCCCAAGCCTAACAACTATAATTGATTGACACTCTTTTTTCCTGCTGCAACTGTAATAAAATCTCTCCACTTTATCAATAGTCATCATCTTTTTAAAAAGTGACCAGAATTGTGTGCCCTTACTACTTGTAGCTTTACTTCTTTACAGATTGAGACTCATGTAAATTACCAGCTGAATATTAGATTAATATTCTGTGTTTTCCTTTAAAGATGATAAGTAAATAAATAATGATAGGAACCTTGCTGTCTAGCTATATAGGTTTGCTTGACCAGGGATGATTGTATTAGGAACCAGTTCCTAATCGGTTATGCCACTGAAACAAATGAATACAATATAATGGTGATTATTTTTTTAACTGAGCTCAGCAATCCAGTGGTCTCTGCTGTCGGTGCACTGAAGTCTCCAAACTTGCACAGCCAATGTGTAGAGCAAGGTGTGGTGGTGGCAACCATCCCGGCTGCCGTGCCACAAGCCCTCCGTGGCATCCAAATGGGCCTTTTCAGCCTTCTAGATGGAGTGGCCAAAGGAAGGAGACTCAGGTGCCTCCTGGATATGGCATAGGCCACTGGCCCAGCCTCCTCCCATCCCTGCAGCAGGCTCTTTCCCCTCGTCTCCAAGGCCCGTTTGCAGCCTTGGAGAGGCGTTTAGGACAGTTCTTTCTGTGCTGGCTGTGATAGGGCAGGGTCTCCAGATAGTCCTACTCCCCCATGATGCTGTGACCCATAGAACTGGGGTCACATTTTGAATTACATTCTGCTTTGGAACATAATTTAACTCATCCAGAGCTGGATGTTCAGAAGCCAACAGACTGGGGTAGCATGGTATGGGTGTGTTCGAAACTTCCTCCTCCCCATTTATTGCAATGCTGCAGCCCTCCCCAGCACCCCTCTTTCCTAGTTGACGTTCCTGACTTTTCCCCAGAGAATAGTCCATGACCATGTGGTTGCCTACAGAATGAGTTGTCCATAAGGTCTTGGCCTGCTGCAACTGGACTTTTCCCTGAAAAGGCTGGACAAACTGGAAGCTTGTGGCTCATTAACATGAAGGAGGACAGGAAATTGCTACACGGCCATGGAGAGGTCAGCACAGTTTTCTGCTGATGTGTAAAGGAACTAAAATCTTTGCAATATTACACATCAGAGAGAAAGAGAGAGAGTATACCTGGGCCATGAGGCAGGAAAGCCCCACAAGAGGCGTTCAGCACAGAGGGTTTGAAAGCCCTGGTGACGAAGATTCTGCCAAGATTTTATTGCAGGGCTCAGCCAGCAACTAGCTGTAACTCTCGGAGGCATGTCCCAAAGAAATCGCATTCCAAAGGCATGTGCCAAGAGGGGTTCAAGAAAAAGGCATCTGCAGAGTTAGAACAGAGCTGCCCTGAATATATTCGTTGTGGCATTATTTGCACTTTAAACTAGTTGAATGGTCTTTACTTCATGGGTAATCCTGGGAACAGCAGCTTAAAGGAATGGTGTGTGTGTGTGCATGGTTGGGATTTCTAACGGAGGATTCTGAGCAGCCTCACCAAACAGTAATTCCCAGCATGGATAGGGAAAGCCCTGACAGCTAACTATATAAAACTAATGTAAGTTTGCAGTTGCAAGTTTGCTCCCGTGCATTTTTATCCTTGTACTTGCTCCAGCTTCCTTTCATCCAGTTTCAGGGTCTTTGCTGGATCTTTGCAGAACCAGCAGTGCTTTCCTCAGCATTGTTGCCAGTATTTTATGCTCCCCATCCCCACAGAGGCATGTACAGCACCACGGTGTGTGCATTTGCAACATTTGGAAGCACCAGCAAGAACCCCCACACTGTTGACAGTTGCTAAAAATAATAGTGTTAACTGGAGGGAAAGGCAGGCGTTTGTTTATATATTTGCATTCATAACCTTCCCTTCCTTGCAAGGGGCCCAGGGAAGAGATGCATAGAATTTGTTAAATCCGTTTCAACCTGTTGCAGATGTTCAGGCATCCTTGGTTCTGTCAGCTGCTCATTGATGAAATTGGATTTTTGGTACAAAAAAAATGTTTATTTGCAAATGTGCAGTTGCATAATCCCCCCCCCCCCCCAGTTAAAAAAAATCAGCCTACAAGTCTGTGGAATCTGCATAATTTGGAGAAAGTGGTTCTGCTGTACATTCTGTGGAGATTTGTAGATTTCTGTGACTCAAGTCTCATTTGACTTTACTATGTTCTCTGACATTGCTAGCCCAGGGCATGTGAGAATGAGGGACAGCCACGGCCTCTGATTTGCACTTTCCTATAAAAAGGCTTGGCATGCAAACCATAAGGCTCAGGGGCCATACCTGGATTCCTGCCTCCTTCCCCTGACTACTAATTCTTTGCTCGTTTCCTGGATTAGGCATGCTTTTTCCCATTCAAAAATATTTTCCCCCTGCCGTAGTCGCTGGTGGCACGGGCCCCAAGCTAAACCAGGCCAATATTTTTCACGTGCCTTTTGCCATTGTGGAGGCCCTGCGGCTGGGAAGTGTCACCTGAGAGCTTCTGCAAGGGCCAGCTTGGCTCCTGGGCTCAGAGAGGTTCTGCTCCCTGACTCAGAGAGAGCTGAGCTGTGCAAGCCAGAGCTCCAGGTCTGCACACCGTGTGGTGAAACACAGCAAACTGATAGAGCTGCCTCCTTTATTAGCACTTTGCAGCTACAAGGCAAAGTCCACAAAGCCCTCTAGTAAGCTGGAAGAGAAGCCTCTGCTCGTGCCCAGAGTGTTGAACCCGAACTGGGAACTTCTCCCACAGAGCCTTCTCTTTCAGTCATGCTGTGTGCTCCACCCTCATGGTGGCTCCTAAGACCTTCACAAGCCCTCAAGCTGGGCAGCTTGTCTCTCCCAGCTCCTTGTCATGGGGTCAGGGGTCATGCAAGGTGATGGCTCTCCCTGCGCTCCTTCTTGGACCCCTGCCCTCTCTTTCAAAACATTCCTGTTCTCCTGGTTGGCCTGTAAACCTGTGACAGCAACCTTGAGGGATGCGTCAAAGACCTACGATTCTTAAATTCCAACCTCTCCTCCCTCAAGGTTTCCTCCTCCTCCTTCAGATGCCCGCCAAGAGGGGCTTCACTCACTCACTGCTTTCAGAGTAACCAGCTTTAAAACAGCACAAACACCTAGGTTGCGGTGGCATGTGAATTGGGAGAGTGAGTCTTCAGGGCAAACAATTGGCAAGGCTGCGCCTTATTAAGCACTCCTGTTACAGAGTTTGGTTTATTGAAAATTCCCCCAGCCGTGAAAAATGAGTAATGCACAATGAAACAGGAATGCAGTTTTGGTGTCTTCATTCATTAAGCCTTTCCCTTCAGAAAACTTGTTTTTTCCACCTTGTACTCGATTGAGTACTAGATTTTTTTAAAGCTACTGTAGCATTCACAGGGTGTAAAATTGCCATTAAAACACAGATTGTTGTCCATTATAAACCTATGGCTTTTATTTGCTCATAAATTCCACCCCAACCCCCCACACATCCCCTTTCAGTAGAACCCTGCTCAACCCTATAAAACCTGAGTGAATTAATCAGTTCCTTGGGAACACCTTTTCAAATGGATGACTCCGCAAAACAAAATTAGAATGTGAGTGTGACAGAGTGCTTAGGCGGGGGTTGGAGCTGAGTGCAGATAGAGGGAGGCCGGGACTCAGATTTCTTCTCCAGCAAAGCAAGTCCAGCAGAGCTGTAGTCTCAGATGGCTTCTGATCCAACCAGCAGTTAAAAATAATGAGGCAATGAGAGCTCTGCATGAACTGGAGAGGCATCATTTGATGAGT